CTGCTTTAATGGTAGCTTTAAATGCTGATCCATCAGTATAGACATGTATCCATTCTTGGGGGTAAGAATCAACGGTCTTTAGTGATGAGTTCATAAGAGCGATTGGGTCGGACTGTTTGGTTTCCTCGCCTACCAATTTAGTTTGGACTTCTGGAGCTTTAAAGCGAGCATGTGGTGGTAGGTTTTTTGCAACATTCTGAATTCCTTGACGTCTTTCTGGGAGGTGGTATCTGTCCTGAATTTCATTAACACAGTGTAAAACCGATTTGTGCTTTATTCTTTGTTTGGATTCCCAGTTTTCTACAAGATGTCTATTAGGATGGTTACGATTTTTCCTAACGCAATAAAGATGTTAACTGTAGATCTAAACTGCTTTTAGCAAATCTGCGTGTTTATAACGGAGGAACCATGAAGCCAATGTGAGCACATCTTGGTAAGAAAAGCCAGGAAAAACCCAAGCATGCCAGTTCATTATCTTATGCCAGTTCAATTTCAAATATGCCAAATTTGTGGAATCTGGCATAAAAAATTTCAATATGGCAATCCTGCTCACAATATCTAATTAAAAAAAAAAAAATCTTATTGTTTAATCAATACAACATATTCTCATCCATGTTTCCTATAACTATGGTAACGACTGCAGGTTCTCAAGATCTACCATCCGGACCACAGGCATTTTTTTTTTTTTTGCAATATTCCCATTTCTTCCCAGCGTGGGATAATATCACTATTTTATTAAGATAAACAGTTTTATCAGTCTTCTTCTCCCCACCCCCTAAAAAAGCTTTTTTTTTTTGGAACCTGCATCAGTTGTGACGGCATTTTCTGGCTGTCTTATTTTCCATCTTTAAGCTTTACATTTGTTTTCTAAAGTAACCTTTTTAATTTAGTATATATCGTGTTTGCGTTTTACTAAGAAGGACGTATTTTTTCTGGGCATTTAATTACTGATGATAATTCATTCCCTGAATAACTTGCCTATGCAAGATTGTAAAATAACGTCACTTCCGAATCGCCATATTTCTAATTTTATCAATAAAGTCAGGATTGAGGAAGGTCTGTGGGTGCCTGGATTAAATGTCAGTCTAAGATCGTTAGTTATTTTTAAAATTTGACTTTCTTTTATCTCACTTATTATAGAGATTGTATTGAGCGTTTTATATAGTATATTAATACAAAGCTGGAGCACAATTTTAATTTTTAACGCATTGACTCATGACTGCTAAAAATAAGTAAGCAACATAAATCAGAAATTGAAATTTATAAATAATATTATTATAATTATGTTGTTGTGATCATCATGTGGCTAAAATTTCGATGATTTGAAAGTGTGAAAGTCAGATATATTGATATTTTGATGTATATACTATATACGCGCATGCCATCATGCTGTGTTTTGTTTTATCTTCAAATGTGCAGGCATTCTCTATTAATGATAATTATAGTTTATTGAAATATTATTATTAGTTAATATTATATTAACTCTTTCAGGAACACATTTTTTGCTGGGGTTTTGACAGCATTACTTTTGAGCTGAATTTTGTTACTGAAACACGACAAAGCTAAAACCTTCCTAAAGAAAAAGTATTGGCTGTATCAGGAGATATAATATATCAAATTGAAGATAAATGAGTAGAATAAATCTAAACTATTTAAACGTCAGGCTATCCTCCGAATAAAGGGCACAAAAGATGGCGGCCAAAAACAGGGCCCCAGTCACTTGTCAATTGCACACTTCCAGCGACTTAATTTGCGGTTTTCCGGCGATTACTGCTGAGACGAGAGTATCTCCCACGCCGCTCACACATGGTGGATTAGGGCTAAACTAGATGGCTAGGACTCACGAGCAAAGCTGCAGGAGATGTGGAAGCTGCTGCTCGTGAGTCCCAGCCATCTAGTTTAGCCCCAATCCACGCCGCATTAGCGGCGTGGGGGATACTCTCTGCTGTGGCGGTAGTCGCCGGAAAACCACAAATAAAGTTGCCGGAAGTGTGCAATTGACACATGACTGAGGCTCTGTTAGGATGTCTTTGCGGCTGCCATCTTTTGTGCTCGTTATTCGGAGGATAGCCAAACGTCAGTGTTACAACAAAATAATAAAATCACACAACACTCAACAACATATGAAGATTATTGACATAAAAAATTTGTGTGCTTACCTTACTTTTTTACTTGTTCAACAACACTGCTTTCCAATTCTAGGGATGCAAATGCCTTCTCTGTTCAATTTTGTATCAGCTAATTTTTATTTGAAACAATTAATTTAAATATTTTGTATGTTATGATCTTCTTTGTATGACATGTCAAATTTCACAACAACCGAAAATCGGGAAAACAGCTGATTGAAACAATGATCCGATTGAAATATTTTGTTCAATTTTCATATCCTAAACTAAATTATTGCCAGTAGGTTTGTCAGTTAGATATCAATCATAATATCAAGACTGTTGTCACCATCTGGCAGAGATTCATACATGACAGAGCAGTATGAACAGGTCTAGGCCTTTTCTCGGCTATCCTCCGAATAACGGTCCTAAATTATCTAATAAATAATCCCTAACAGGGCCTCAGTCACGTGTCAATTGCGCAGTTCCATCGTCTTGAAATGCGAGCTTCCGGCGACTTCCGCCGCCGCCGAATTGCGAACTTTAGCTAACCTCCGCCACTGCCAAGAGTACTCCCCACGCCGTTCACGCGGCGTGGATTGGGGCTAAATTAGATGGCTGGGACTCACGAGCAGCAGCTACCGCATTTCCTGCAGCTGCCGTAGTTTTATTTGCTCATGAGTCCTAGCCATCTAGTTTAGCCCCATTCCACGCCGCATGAGCGGCGTGGGGAGTACTCTCGGCGGTGGCGCAAGGCACCGGAAGTTAGCAATTTTGCGGCGCCGGTATAGCCCCGGAAGTACGCAATTGGCACGTGACTGAGGCCCTGTTAGGGATTTTTTTCTGCGTAGATTATTTAGATCGTTATTGGGACGATAGCCCTTTTCTCTTATCATTTAGTAAAGGCAAATAGCGTAAAAATTTTATCCCATCTAAATAATTTTTTTTTTAAATCAGAAAATAATGCACTAACCATGATTAAACAAAAGGATTTCCTGTTGTTAATCCTAATTGTTCGAAAACTTGTTAATTGAAGTTCATATTCCCCACAAACGGAACAAAATTAGAGTGTCTATGATACACCAGTATACTGGCGATTAGTCCATTATGAATAGTCATTCGACAGAATACTAGTGAAAAGTCTTTAAAGAGTTAACTTTTTGGAGATAGGACCTTTTAGGAGTTTCAGTGCCAACAAGACAAAGCCTTAAGAGGGGATGCTCATAGTTTATACACAAAAATAGAGAGTTTAATTAGCATATACAAAACTATATATATATAGTCTGGTAGTCTTAGTTTCAGCTTCATATATATATATATATATATTTATATATATTCATGCAGGAAATTAGAATGAGCTCTAACAGAATATTTGTGAATCAAACCGAAAACTCAACATTTATTAAAAATAACTACTGATTTGCATAATTTATGGAAGCATTTTTTTTTTCTAAAACAAGGAAGACAAAAAGACAAATTGTGTGAATATTTTGATGGATGAAGCTTGAATAATTCCTAACCCTTGTGTTTTGGGAAGTAAGGCCCTTGAAGACACATCTGGCACATGGTTCTACTCATTTTCCTGCCTCCAGCTATGTTTTGGTTGCTATGACATAACAGTCCTATTCATCGTTGTTGGCATAGGTCACACACACACACACACACACGCGCGCGCACACACACACACACACACACCAACCCCCCCCCCCCCCCCAATTTGAAAAAAAAATGTAAATACCAAACACTTCAGACTTTCTTGAAAGCCCTCACTGAACAGCTCACATATGCGAGAAGCAATCTGATTGGCTGGTACGAAAACCTGCCAGCCAATATCAAGGCTTGTATTACATAGGACCGACTGATCTGCCCAGTTGTCCTTTTGGCTACTTTGTGTCTGGCTGATATTTCGCCCGCGTCGTCTCTTAAGGGTTAATACAGCAAGTCGCTGTGGTGTAGCAGATAAACGCTCGCCTGTGGACCGAAAGGTCGTGGGTTGGGGGTCCTGATGGAGCCGGCCTTTTCTTTAGGTCGACCCAACCTTAAGTAGGTTCCCAGAGTCCTGGAAAGTAAAGGTGGCTGGCATGATGCTGACCACATCACCCAGCAAGTGACCATTGGTCTGTAAAATAAAAATATAGATCTAGTTCTAGCCATACATGCCCTAAATGCATGCAAGCATTAAAAAAGGTCTTTTACTTTACTTTAAAATATAAACATAATAATTCAATATTTATAAAGTAAAGTAAATATTTATAAAGTAAAGTAAAAGAAATCTCAACTCATTTATAAAATACTGATTTATGAACCATTTAGTTGTAAAATGGTAAATAATAATATACTACTATTATTTTTTTTTAAATTGTAAGGAAGGTAAAAGAAGATTGTAATAAAATCTAGACAGTTATGAGATTTTTTGACTAGCTACAAATCTGAAAGCATCTAGAAGAAAGATGAATTATGACAAACTTACAAAGAGCATTGGAAAGAGCACACACACATGCACCCCACCCCGCAATTGACTGAGCTCTATATGATGTGTAAATGTTCCCAACACGTTGAGAGATCTTTGCTGTTACTTCTTCTTTTCTCTACTCCTGGAATGCCTTGCGGCGTCGGTGGAGGAATAGATCTCTAGAATGAGCTCTTCTAATTGCTTTGTATATAGTATTTTTCAGTGTCTCTTATATTTCTGCGGTCATTATTTTGCATGGTCGACCTCTGGCTCTATTACCACTGTATCTCTATCATTGCTCTCTGTGGCGCCTTGTCTGCTGCCAGTCTTGTAACAAGGCCAAACCATTTGATTTGTTGTCTCCTAATTTACTGTTACTAATCAATGTTATTGTGTCTTTCACAGACTTTCCCAGGTTAATAATGATGGCCTAATGAGCAGCCATGACTTCACAGAACACCTCGTTATCACCTGAAGCTCTAAACACAAGCACTACGGTTATCACCACTGCTAGTGGCGCGACAACCACCATTCCCAGCCTGATCTCCACAGCTACAGCTAAATCAAATATTACAGCAGAGAATATCACGGTGATACAGCCACTGATATTTCTACAGACATCTGTAGCTCAGGGAATAGCTGGTACATTTGCATTTGCGGCGATTTTGATTACAGTACACCAAGTAAGTGGCCTCTAGGCGTCTATCTCTCTCTTGCTCGCTCTCTCTCTTTCACTCGCTCTCTCTCACTGCCTCTTTCTCCCTCTCTCTCTCTCTCTCTTGCTCTCTCTCTCTCTCTCTTGCTCTCTCTCACTGCCTCTCTCTCTCTCTCTCTCTCGCTCTCTCCCTCTCTCTCTCGCGCGCTCTCTCTCTCTCACTGCCTCTCTATCTCTCTCCCTCTTTCTCGCTCTCTCTTACTGCCTCTCACTCTCTCTCTCTCTCTCACTCTCCCTCTCTCTCGCTCTCTCTCACTGCCTCTCTTTCACTCTCACTCACTCTCTCTCTCTCTCTCTCTCTTGTGCACTCACGCATTTTTATCCATTCATGCAACATGGGCCCTAAACCAACTTGCGCAGAATGCTTGTCTGCTGCCATCTCATGCAGCCTCTCTACATTCTTTGCATTATATTTGCATGTATTTAATTCTCAGTTTTTGAAGTCCTTTTATTTCTTAGGCTTTGTGGGTTCCACCAGTGCAAGGGCATTCTAGTTATACTTTTATTAGATTCCCTTACTGTGTGAAAAAAGTAAGTAAAGGACCCTTTTCCAAGCCTTCAGGTGTACTGGGCATATAATGCTAAAACTATATTTTATAGACAAGTTGGCACTCTGTCGGTGATGTGGTCAACATAATTGGGCTGCCTTTACTTCCTATGACTTTCCCTGGTACCCATTTAATGCTGGGTCAACCTGGGAGCCACGGTTATTTTTAGAAAAAGTCTGGCTCTGTTCTGATTTTAACCCACAACCGCAAAATCTGTAGGCGGGCTTCTAGCTGCTACACCATGGCGGCTTCCCTCACTGTCTATGCTTCAACCTTCATTTCATTTATATCTCTTCCTTAACCTGTCCTCTTATACTAGGGAATGTAGGTACTTTGTTGTGTATAGGTTTATAATGTGGGGAAGATGAACAATAGGCAGATTTTGTTGGGGTTCTTGGTATAGAGCACCAAAAGTCCTCTTTTTTTAGATGATCACACAAGGAGAATCTTAGCACAGTGCTTTAAGATTAAAAGCAATGAGGAGTTAAAATATATCATGTGGTGATCTACCAGAATCACATGCTGTGAGTATTTTGTGTGTGGGTAGATTTTCTAATTTTGGAATTTTGTTGGCCTCCTTTCCATCTTTCCAGACAATAGTGGTACATTGTGTGATAGGCGGGCACAGGAATCACAACCAGTAAGGGCCAGGGATGAAGTTCTCTCCATAGCACAAAGGCTAGGTAGTATTGTAGAGACTGTATGTTGCCTATATCATCAGGAATGATGATATCAGGAGAAGAGCTGGCACAGAACCAATACTGAACAGATGGGGCAACCCGTTTGCTATGAAGCTGAAACTAAGACTACCAGACTACCAGATGAAATGGTTTGGCCATGTAACAAAATTAGCGTCAGACAGGGAACCACAGAGAGCAGTATAATACAGATAAAGCAGTAACAGAGCCAGAGGTTGACTACGCAGAAGATGGAGAGCTGAAATATCAGAGACACTGAAAAGTACTATATACAAAGTGAACAGAAGGATCCGTTACAGAGATCTCTTCCTGCATTGATACCGTGAGGCATGTTCACAGCCGATGAACAAAGAAAAAGAATGGGGATTTGAACAGATTATGAATTTCATTGTTGCTTCTCATATCATTCTTTGCTGCTTGCTGGGTCCAAAGATTCATCATAAGACAGTTTTCAAAAGTTTGTAATAAAGCTTGTCTCTTTTACTTGTACTCCAGATACTCTAACCCTATATGATTTTTTTTCAGTGTTTTAAATAGTTATATTGTTTTTATGAGCATTTTTTTAATTAAAAAAATATATTTAATGCTATACTTATTTATTATATCCCCAGATTTATCTTCATCTTCGGTACTACACCTGCCCAAATGAACAGCGCTGGATTGTGCGTGTTCTGTTCATTGTCCCCATCTACTCACTTGACTCGTTCCTCAGTCTCCTGTTTTTGAACAATGACAATTACTACGTTTACTTTGACAGCCTCAGGGACTGTTACGAAGGTATGTATGTTTAGAAAAAAACTGTCTGACATACGTATTCTTTTTCTTCACCTGGTTTTCCTATTTCATTTTTTTTTTAAGCATCAAGTTAGAAAGAGCACTCATAAAATTCTCTCCCATCCCAAAATCTCCTCAACATTTTGATTAAGTAAGTGGGGGAAACAAGTATTAATTAACTTAGAAATAAAAATACCTGTCAACAACACAGCTGTTACTTATGCTATGTGTTGGTTCTGGCGTGATTAAATAGAAATCCTTGCCACTTCTGTAGTAATTCTGTACTGAACAGAGAACTTCATTGTGTAATAATGTAAAGGAGGAGACTGGATCACTAAAGGATAATTTCATAGTACACTGGGAATGCTGATAAAATCCAGTCGTAAATCATTAATAAAATCAATTATACATTAACTCTTTCCTGTTCCCTGTGCATGCTACTTTAACTCATTTTATTCTAAGAAATTATGAATTTAACCTATAAATATTCTTTGATAAAATAGTTAAAATTATAACATAATGAGAAAGAAGGACTTGAGGCACCAGTTGTGGCAGAGAAGGTTAAGGTAAAACTGTTTGGGAAACCAAGGGTTAAGTAATAACAAATATATAAAGAACAATTCAACAGCCATGTGGTGAGTTTGTATAGTACTGAATGAGTTAATAAATCAATCAGAATTAAAAAAGACATTTTTTTTTCTCTTCCCCAGCGTTTGTCATCTACAGTTTCCTTAGCTTGTGCTATGAGTATCTGGGTGGAGAAGGAGCCATTATGTCTGAGATTAGGGGCAAGCCAATACAGTAAGTTGTCCTGACAGCTTAACTTATGATGTCTGTTTTGCTTGTATTTCACTTTGCTTTCTTGATTGTATGTCCTTTTATTGTTGTTGATTTCAAATCATCATTTTACCCATGTGTGTGTGTGTGCCTTTGTTTCTAGCGAGTTGGGCAGAATGAACAGTATAAATCGTTTATGGCCGTGGTTTCTAGAAAGGATTACATTAGGAAATGGTGGGGCTCGGTTCAGTTGTATTTATAAATAGAGTCGCCGTGGTGGGGGCTAAGCACGGCCTTCTCTATTAATTATAGAGATGGCATTTAGGCTAAGCAAAGTGACGGCAGCTGGATTTCCCAGTTCTATTTTTGGCCTGGATTTATCTTTACAGTGTGTTTGGGATCAGTATTGTAATTTCCCGAGATTCCCTCTTCTGTTGTTTCACCCATCTCTCTCTCTTCCCTAACTCTTTCACTCTTCTACTTATTGCTCCTTCCTTCCCGTATCCTGCATTGTCTCTAACCCTCCCTTCTGATCTTCATCTTCTTCTCTTTCTCTCTATCTTTCCTTTTACTCTCTCATTCCCCCCCCCTTTTTTCTATTTTATTTCTTGTTTAAATGTTTAGTAAATGTGCGGCTCCATAACTCTTCCTAGCAACTCAAGTACACAGGAAGTTGTATTGTCCATCTCCCTTCCCGCCCCCTCACATTTTGTCCTACCTGTTCCTCACTCTCTGCCTGTCTGTGTCACTGCTTTCCTCTCTCTCTTTCTCTTTGTATTTGCCGCTCTCCTTCACTCCCCCCCCCCCCTTACTCTCTCTCTCCCCCTCACTCTCTCTCTCTCTTTCTCCATACCTTCAGTTGGCGTAGAAGGTTATGTGTTGCCTAGTGCAGAACATTTTATGTCCACCATTCCCCCCTCCCTCACACACACATTAAATATATGTGTACTTTTAAAAACACATTTGCCGTCACCCCCCCCCCCCCCCCTTTTTCTCCTCCCACATTGATGACACCTAGGGGAGGGGGTGCACCCCTTCCTGCTACCTTCTCCCCTCTATATCTCAACTTATTTCTTACTCCCTTCTTTCTCTCCCTGTCTCATTCCCATTTTATTTTCTTAAACTTTATTCTCTCACCTCCTCTGTCTCACCCTTACCACCTCAGCTTTCTACACCACTTTCCACCACCTCCTCTCTCCCCTCCTTTCTGTAATTGGAAAACCAGAAATAAAACGAAGTCCACTGCTGCCCTGACCTATTTATGTGTGTGGGTAAACTTCTCTATTTTCCACCAGTGGTGGGTTGGGATCCCCTGGACTTTTTTTTTTCTTCATAAAATGACCTTGGCTCTCAGGTCACCAGCCTAAAGTGTAAGAAATTGAATTATTGTTGTCACACACAGATAGGACAGGCATGGGGCAGTAGGGGTTAGCACTGTTGTTTATGGACCACAGCCACATTCACATTGGGAGAGGGTAGGAACTGGAAAAGTGGCCTCACTTAGAGATTTCCTAATTCTATTTTTGGCACTCAGTGTTCTTACACCCCCCCCCCCCCCTTTACAACCGTGTCTTACCTCTCTTCTCTCACCCCTTCTCTTTCCTTTGATCTTCTACTATTCTCCTTTCTCTCTCCATTCTTCCTCTCTTCCTTTCCTTGCCCTTTCTCCTGTCCCATCTCTTCTTTGTCTCCTCTCCATCCTGTCTTTTCATTTTCTCTAGATTTCCTTACCCGCTCCCCTCTCTCATTTCCCCCCCCCCCCCCCCATTTTTTTCTCTGGTTCATCTACATATTTTTTTGCCCCATAACTATCTTTTCCTAGTGGTTGTGTCCACTACACTTGAAATTGTGTGTGTGTGTGTGGGGGGGGGGGGGTTTAGCAGGAGGCTTTTTTTTTTTTTTCTTTGATGTATCTTGTCTCCCTTCCTGCCCCTCTCTCTTAATCTGTGTTTGTCACTGCCTTCCTTACCCACCTCTCTCTCTCTCTCTTGCTTTATGTCTGTTTGCCTCCCTTCATCACTTCCCATTTGTATACCTCCCTCCCATTCTCCTGCTCTGCCTTTTTTCTCTTTCTTTGGTTCTCTCCCTCTGTCTGCTTGCCTCTCTGTGCTGTCCCTTTGTCTCTCTCTCCTTTATGTCTACATCTCTCTCTGCTTGCATCTGCTTCTCTTCCTGTCCGTTCTCTCTCCCTCTGTCTCCCTTCTTTCAACTCTTTGTCATATTTTCCTCCTTCCATATCTCTGTTTCGTTCCCTTTTTCCTTCTCTTTTCATCTGCCCATCTCTGTATCTGCATTCCCTCTTTCTGTATTTGTCTCCCTCTCTGTCTTTCGCTGTCCCTTCCCCACTTTTCCTCATCATGTCTCCATCCCTCCCTCTCATTTTTTCCTCCTTCCCCAGACTTCTTTTCCTTCTTTTCTCTACCTTCATCTGTCCATCTTTACACTGTCTCTCCCAGCCTACCTCAGCATGTGTCTTCCTCCCTCTCTGCATGACTCTCTCTCTCTCCCCCAACCCTTTCAGATACCAGGTCCAGAACAGACAGGACTTCAGTTTGCTGCCCTCTACCACCAAGCCCTAAAAAAAAATTTCAAACACTATATCAAGCTCAGGGGCCGACCAACACGAAGATGGGCACAGGAAATAAGTGACTCCTTGAGTATAAAAAAGTACATGAGACGGAAGAGCTGGTGAGAGACCAAGGTTTTTTTGTCAGGACAGAGGAAATGCTACATGATGATGATATATGTGCTGGTATACCAACACATGTGGCACGAATGAAGTACATTGTGTGCTCAGTACACCCTTGAACAAGGCAAAAATCTTGTTTCAGTATTACACCGAGACAACCTTGAAAAAAACTAAGGAGACCTTGAAAAAGACCTTGAAAAGCCTTGAAATTGATTGGTAAATTTGGCTATGAACCCTGTTATGTCCTCTTTTACCGCTTCGGGTGTTGAGGGAGATATAAGGTGCTCCTCTTGCTGCTTCGACCATAGGCACATCAGGGTGCTGTAGAGTTTCTGTGATGTTATCTTCCCATCTTGTTCTTGGTCTACCTCTTGCTCTAGTCCCTCTCCTCTTTTGTTTTAATCTTTGAAAAATTAAAACAGTAACCTGGACATCTTTTGGTCAAGGTGACCAGAAGAGCACAAAACAGAACCTGATACCTCCCTTTACAGCGGTAAAAGAGGAAGTGAGAAAGAAGACAATAGATGTGTCACAGCAGAAGTACTTCCAGAGCTGTGTCATGTTTCTTAGTGGAGAACTCACTTAACAATGATAGTTCTTTACTTTTTAACAAGCCTAAGAAATAGCAGCGGTCATCATTAGGAGACTCGATGGGGCAAATAACCAAATTTTAGTTTAAAAGGGGTTCCACATATACCTCATACTGTTCATAGCTTAAAAGGGTTTCCACATATACCCAGTCTGGTAATCTGATAATCTTAGTTTCAGCTTCATAGCAAACAGGTCACCCCATAGTTGCTCCGCTCCTGTGCCAACAAAAAACACACAGAATGTTCATCCCAGTCCCTTTTGGAAAGATTGACAGACTGCTGTCTCAGCATATCTAGCATACACATGCATTAAAAGCATACGGCACCCATCCGAAGTACCAACACAAACAGTCTGTCATTAGAAATGCTGTTAATCATTGATGGTAGCAGTAGTCACCAACAGATCAGCGATTGCACACGCGATCAATTTTAATCACACAATGGCACCACCAATATTGTGACAACAGGCATCACGCCATTTTCTGAATTTACAATTCACACCACCACTCTGGTCACAGTCAAAAAACATTCCAAATGAAATCTGCAGCTCACAGTGTCACGCCATATACTCAACTCGGAAGCTGGGCGACAAAACTATATCCTTTCAGCCTACAAATGGAGTTAAAATTCAACAGCCACAATCTGGCAGAAGCAACAAATTTGCCATGGCTCGAAACAGTGGCCGTGCCTAGCGTCCATTTTTTGACCGGAAGTTTCGTATATACCCAATACAGTTCATAGCTTAAACGGTGTTCCACATATACCCAATACAGTTCATAGCTCTAAAGGGGTTCCACGTATACCCAATACAGTTTATAGCTCTAAAGGGGTTCTACATATACCCAATACAGTTCATAGCTCTAAAGGGGTTCCACATATACCCAATACAGTTCATAGCAAAAGGGGTTCCACATATACCCAATACAGTTTATAGCTCTAAAGGGGTTCCACATATACCCAATACAGTTCATAGCAAAAGGGGTTCCACATATACCCAATATAGTTAATAGCTCTAAAGGGGTTCCACATATACCCAATACAGTTCATAGCTCTAAAGGGGTTCTACATATACCCAATACAGTTCATAGCTCTAAAGGGGTTCCACATATACCCAATACAGTTCATAGCTCTAAAGGGGTTCTACATATACCCAATACAGTTCATAGCTCTAAAGGGGTTCTACATATACCCAGTATAGTTTATAGCAAAAGGGGTTCCACATATACCCAATACAGTTCATAGCTCTAAAGGGGTTCCACATATACCCAATACAGTTCATAGCAAAAGGGGTTCCACATATACCCAATACAGTTCATAGCAAAAGGGGTTCTACATATACCCAATATAGTTCATAGCTCTAAAGGGGTTCTACATATACCCAATACAGTTCATAGCAAAAGGGGTTCCACATATACCCAATACAGTTCATAGCTCTAAAGGGGTTCTACATATACCCAATATAGTTCATAGCAAAAGGGGTTCCACATATACCCAATACAGTGCATAGCTCTAAAGGGGTTCCACATATATCCAATATAGTTCATAGCTCTAAAGGGGTTCCACATATACCCAATACAGTTCATAGCTTAAAAGTGGTTATTTACCATAGGTCCAAGCTTCTCAAGGTGTTGAAAATGGTCTTTTAATTCTTACCATAGTTTTCAGCACTGTATTATGTCTTTTTGTGTGTTAAAGTATTTACCGTATAGACTTAAGTTTAAGACAATCCCATGTTTAAAAGCACCTTGATTTTGGCACCAGAAACTAAAAAAAATGATTACATAAAGTCAGCATTAAAAAAAGTGTCATTGTTTTATCTTCTTCTTCTTCTTTTGTTTGCTTGAAATAGATTATCTACATCTGCAATGTTGTCTCTAGAATGAACTTCACTGTCTTTTGTAATTCACTCAGCGACCCGTAAAGTTTGACTTGCACCGATGTTTCTCTTGGCCAAAAGTTTTGCCTTAGTATGTTGTGTTTGGGACAGTCTTGGAGGACATGACCTGTTGTCTCAGGTGCCAATCCACATGTGCACATGGATGATTTACCAAATGTAAATTTTTGGCTATCTTCCGAATAACGGTCCCAAATTATCAAGGAAGAAAATATACCCTAACAGGGCCTCAGTCACGTGTCAATTGCGCACTTCCGGTGACTTAAATTGCGCTCTTTCGGCGACTTCCGCCATCGCCGAGGTTATCCCCCACGCCGCTCACCCGGCGTGGATTGGGGCTAAACTAGATGGCTGGGACTCACCAGCAACAGTTACCGCATTTCCTGCAGCTGCCTTCATTTTATTTGCTCGTGAGTCCCAGCCATTTAGTTAAGCCCCAATCCACGCTGCTCACGCGGCATGGGGGATTCTCTCGGCGGTGGCTGTATAGTCCCTGGAAGTGCGCAGTTGACACGTGACTGAGGCCCTGTAAGGGTATATTTTCTGCCTGGATTATTTGGGACCGTTATTCGGAAGATAGCCACATTTTTTGTACATGTGGCTGCACAGTCGACTGTGTCCTGATAAGGTGTAGAATAATAACTTGATTGTTTTATCTCATCCTCAGTGTTTGTTATCAATAGTTTCCTTAGCTTGTGCTATGAGTATCTTGGCCCATTGTATAAAACAGTTTTTAGACCCTATATGTTTGGGGGGAAAATATTCGACTTATACTTGGGTAAATACATATTTGCCAGGTCTTGTCATTTATAAAAATTGTGTCACTCCTGGTTTAGAATTTATTTATTTGTCACCCCTCCCCCCTCTACTATAATCACCTCATTTTTCTGAATGTTTTTGGACTAGACTTTTACCTACTCTTGAGTTTGAATCTGCACTGGGATGCTGTTTTATAATTGACATTGGCTTTTAGGCCGACCCAGCAAGCTTGACAACTGGACCAAAAATCTGAAATACTTGATTCTGAAGTATCCATTAATTTATTGATGGTATAAGATGTTACAGTCAATTTAATCATTATTAAACATTTAGTATCTTAACTTTCAGTAAAGTATTTTATATTCACTAGTATTGTCCATAGTTAGATGTCAATTGAGTTAACTCTTTCAGTCTCAAGAAACTCATTTAAGACTCCTACCTAGAAGCCCAATGAACACAAGAGGCACCAATTTTGTCTCTCTCTTTACTACCCCTTGTGCCTCTGATCCAAAACTCCTGGGACTGAAAGAGTTAATGTTCTGTCTTCTATTATCAAGTTAAGTATTGACTAAGCTTTTCAAATTGATTTTCATTGTATGAATTGCTCATTCTCATATTTTGACTATTCAGGTCCAGCTGGATGTCTTGTACTTGCTGCTTTGCTGGCAGACAATACACTATTGGATTTTTACGCTTTTGTAAACAGGTAGTTAAATTACTATTAATATTCTTAGGATGTCTTGTGAGATTTCTGTGAGTTTGTGACTTAATGTTTCTGACTGAATGACATCTTTTGCACTTTTCCGTCTTTCCAGGTGATAGTTTTATATTGTGCTGTAGGGCTGTGTGATAGTTTTATACTGTGCTGTAGGGCTGTGTGATAGTTTTATATTGTGCTGTAGGGCTGTGTGATAGTTTTATATTGTGCTGTAGGGCTGTGTGATAGTTTTATATTGTGCTGTAGGGCTGTGTGATAGTTTTATATTGTGCTGTAGGGCTGTGTGATAGTTTTATATTGTGCTGTAGGGCTGTGTGATAGTTTTATATTGTGCTGTAGGGCTGTGTGATAGTTTTATATTGTGCTGTAGGGCTGTGTGATAGTTTTATATTGTGCTGTAGGGCTGTGTGATAGTTTTATATTGTGCTGTAGGGAGGTATGGGATTAACAGCCCATGGGATAGGTGAGAGTGGTTAGCAAAACAGGTGGCTAGCACAAAGCCTGGGCACTGTTGTAGAGATTATATGTTGTCCATGTAGTATGATCCCTCTCTAAGCCCACCTTGTTTACTCCTAAGGAAAGGTAAAATTACATTTCTGAAATAACATCAATAGTTATATGCCCTTAAATGTTCAATTTCTCCCAGATGATGTTTAAGATTTTAACATTAAGATGACTGATCCAGCATGTCTTATTGTTTACTGAAAATGATAAATGTCCAACAGAATAACTGCTAAAGTCCACACAGAAGAGTGAATGCTGACAATATGAATGTATGTTAATTTAAAAAAAAAACTCTTTACTTCCTGTATGTACCACCTTTTAGAGCAACATAGGATAGGATAGGTTTTGAAGCTGAAGATTTAAGGTCGCAAGGCTAGAACAGTCACCATGGACTGTGCAGCTTAGGGTTTTATTTTTGCCCTGACATAAACGGATTGTAAAATGATTTAAAGTTTTGTCTTTTTCTCTGTTAGGCCACTCTGCAGTTCTGTTTTATCAAACCTATCATGGCCATCCTGACGTTATTGCTGCAGGCCTTTGGATACTACAAGGATGGAAACTTTTCGTAAGTAATTTAAAATTCCCCCCCCCCTCTTTCCCCCCCCCCCCCCCCCCCCAGGAGAGTTCAACTATCAGCTCTTGTAGATCTGTTTGGTTTTGTGACAATTAATGAGTGAAAAATTTACAAGGGTTGCACGTAACGCCAGGTTAAGTTACACAAAGTGTCAGCGCGCAGGACAGAATGAACTGCATTTTGTAGCTTCTTTCAGTATATCAGCATCCTTTCAAGTACGCTACAGCTTTATTTCATCGATACAAAATTGTCTATTCTGAACTTGTAAAGTTATGAATCCTCTCCCCCCCCCCCCCCCCCTTTTCTCAGATAGTTTCATCATCATCAGGTGCCTAACCGACTGGCATGGCCGATCATGCCACTCCACAATCTACGATCTCCTGTAACATGTATCAGTTTGTGTGCTGACACACCTCCATGCCATACAACAAGACTGTCAAGAATCGTCTCTCGTTGTCTTCCTCTATCCCTCTTTCCACAGATCTTTCCAGTGGTCACAACATGTTCTATTTTCCATCTTCTCATAACATTGCCAAATAATGGTGACTGTCTCCTTCTGATATCTGTGATAAGTTGTCTTCGGGCTGCTGCCTTTTTCAAAATCTCTTGGTTGCTCTTTTTGGCTGCCAAGGTATTTTAAGCATTCTTCTGTAAAATCACATCTTTGAGGCTTCAAGAAATTGTTTGGCTTGCCTTCTAATTGTGCAGGACTCACAGCCATATGTCAAAACCTGCTTGTTTAACATGGGTTAATCTAACATCCCAGTTCATGAAAAGAATACCACTCGTCTGCAGCACATAAGTTTTGCTCTGCTACATGTTCAGAGCATGTCTGCATCACTTAAGTTTTGCTCTGCTACATGTTCAGAGCATGTCTGCATCACTTAAGTTTTGCTCTGCTACATGTTCAGAGCATGTCTGCAGCACTTGAGTTTTGCTCTGCTACATGTTCAGAGCATGTCTGCAGCACTTAAGTTTTACTCTGCTACATGTTCAGAGCATGTCTGCAGCACTTAAGTTTTGCTCTGCTACATGTTCAGAGCATGTCTGCAGCACATAAGTTTTACTCTGCTACATGTTCAGAGCATGTCTGCAGCACTTAAGTTTTGCATCTTCAATCTTGAATTTATTGTACATGTGGCAATAAAGATTTGACCACTTGGCCACTAAACTGGCAGGCAATCTTGCTAGTCATGGCCCTAATACTGCACCCATGTTAACATTTTCATGAACATATTTAATTATCAGTATAATCTTAGTCATCAATATACTCTTAATAGTGGCAACAGGTTATAATATGGTGATGCTACATCGAGAAACAGCAGATCAAGTGGTTTGGCCATCTCATTAGAATGTAGCAAGTTCACATACCATCACAGGCACTACATTTCAGAAGATCAACTACAAGAGCAAGAGGACGGCTCGAAAAAATGGATAGACATTAAACATGCTCTGCACCTTCACAGCATGCAATAGCTTGTGGCAGTCAGGGAACACTGGATTGCAAATTAGTCATCCCCATGACACTTAACAGCAGAAGTGGTTTATGATGATGATGATGACTAAAGGGGATTGAATTTATAGCACATCATATTAAGACCAGCTTCCTTCTTCACCACCATTCTGCAGCTCAAAATTATATGATATAGACAAACCAGAATTACCCTGGTTTACAAGTAATCTTACTTGGTAAGGTCGCTGTATTTGTAAGTTAGCTCACTAACTGGGGCCACCGTGTCTCAGTAATATAAAAAGCAAAGTAAAAAGGAACCTTTTCCACGCCCTCAAGCATTTTGGGCGTATAGGGCTAGACCTATATTCTCAATAAATATTAGTAAGAAATAAAGAAGTAAACAACTATTTTCCAGGCATTGAGACATATTGGATATTTGGTGCTAGCCCCATTTTTGTATGGATCTGTCAGCAATGAATGGAAGCTGCCATAGCCTAATAGCTAGATGCTCGTCTGGCAACCCGAAGGCCTAGAGTTTAAGTCTGCACTGAGGGAGAGTTTAAGACTTTAATTTCCAGGTCAACCCAGCCTAAAATGGGTACTGGGCAGTACACCAGTGTCCTTAAAAGAAATTTGGTTGGCGTGATGTTATTATGTGCCAGTGGTTCTATACAAATATAGGTCTAGCACTATATGCCGATACACCCAAGGTGCGAAAAAGGTCCTTTACTTAACTTTACCCAGATTGTATGGGTGATGTAGTCAATATTACACCAACCACATTTATTCTCTATTATCATACTGAAGTCAAGGCGCATCTGTCTGAGGGGCAAGTAAACCGACAGTCTGCACACAGGTAAGCTAGAGCTGTAAAATGGATGTTCACACAATATTCAAGTTCTGAAAGAAGGCTTAAGTCTAGAAGTGGACGAACAACCAGAATTTTCTGCCAGAGTTTACAGCCGGTGATCACTTAAAAATAAGAGAGTTTTCAGAACATTTCTTGTTACTCATTTCCCAGCTTTATTTACTAGAGAGTCCAGGTTAGTAAAAAAAAAAATGTATGCAGCTGTGTGAATGGAACCAGCTGATGGTCATAGACCACTAGGCAGACCAAGAAGACGTTGGAAAGATAATGTCCATACAGTCCTACAGGCACTTGTTAGCTCACCAACTGGAAAGAGAAGGCCAACCAGAGATGTATGGAGGCGGGTGATATCTGCAGCAGTGAACCTCAATATCTTGGAATGCTGAAAAAAGAAGAAGAATGTTATTGGAACCTGTGACCACTCACTGAGCCAGCAGACACATATGCTAGCCAGTGCACTGCTGCGACTCTTAATAGTAAAAGTAGCCATGAATATTTGTGTGTTTTCATTATGATCTTGTGTTTATTGTCTTAACAGACCAGCAAATGGATACTTGTACATCACGATTATCTACAACATCTCCATCAGTTTGGCCCTGTATGCTCTAATCATGTTCTACTTGGCAACCAAGGAATTGCTGAGCCCTTTTGATCCAGTACTGAAATTCTGCATCATCAAATCTGTCATCTTCCTCTCCTTTTGGCAAGGTAAGACCTACCAGTTTTTAATATTTTATTATTTCAAGACCATACCAGTGTATTGCAGGCATAATGCTGACCACATTACCCACCTAGTGCCGATGGTCTGTAAAAAAATATGGGCGCACTTCCCATATGTCCGAAACGCCTAAAGGCGTGAAAAGGGATCTTTACTTTACCAGTGTATTAATATTATTTTTTTTTCAAGACCTTACGAGTATGTTCATGTTAGATTATTTCAAGACCTACCGGTGTGTCAATATTATTTCAAGACCTACCAATATGTTTATATTATGTTATTTCAAGACCTACCAGTGTGTTTATATTGTGGTATATTTTGAGACCTACCAGTATGTTTATATTATGTTATTTCAAAAGCTACCAGTGTGTATATATTATTTCAAGACCTAACAATGCGTTTATGTTCTATTTTTTCAATTGTTAATATTATATACTCCCTTATAGAAACAAAATTAACACTTTTTAAAGGCATATATTTTGAAAACCATTCACTTGAATTATAAATTCAATGTAATTTTCATATCTTACTTCTTTAAAATTAGTAAAGCCGTAGACAGTATTAACTTTTTATTTGGCTCAAAGAAAATGTTCACGTTAAATGGGTTTTCAAAATAAGTTGCGACCAGTTGCAGTGCACTTCTTTTTAAGGCTCAGTGCATCCAGTCTGCTCAGGCACATTGACAGATAGTCTGAAATAATTGGACACCACATAATCTTGGACAATAAAATGTTTATACGCAACGAGAACGCTACAAAAGCCGGAATACAGCAGGCTACTCAAAGCAGTCTTTATTGCTGGACAAAACATTTTTCACTTCTCAGGTCTACAAAATGATTCAGAAAAGGTGTGATGTCTAGGTACAGCAGGCTACTCAAGAGCAGTCTAACATGCTTTCATTACCTGGACAAAGTTTAAATTTTGACACTTCCACTTCAGGTCTCGCAAAATTGTATTCAGAAAAACTAACTTACAATAGAGGATTTTCTTCTGTCGCAGTTTGTAGATGCTATGGGGAGAAACGCTGATCGCTCTTCACCTCATGAATCATCATCATCGTCAGTTTCTCGTTAATGCCTAGGGTGTCACATTTCAGAGAGGACTTTCCATGCTTTTCCTGTCCTGTGCAATCTTCTGCAGTTTTCCATGTCAAAGATGCCGCCACTCAGGTCACTTTCATCGTCGTCTCCATGTTGTTGTTTTGTTTGCCCTTCGTTCCTCTCTGTGGGTTCCATGTGAGAGATGTTTTGGCAGGTATATCAGGATTCATTCTCATAACGTGGCCATGCCTCAAACCAGCCCAAATCTACCCCAAAATATGTTACAGCTTGATAAATTGACTCACACATGCTTGGAATAACCTTCCATAAGCTGCAGTCCGAAACTGAAACCACTCAGTCAGACACAAGTGTGTGGAGCTGACATTAATGCCAGAGATGCAACACACTTTTTAAAGCAGTGTGACTTTTCATTTCGACCCCTCTACCACTGTGAGTATTTAGCTCGCTTAGTTTACAAACAAAATTTCTTCAAATTCCAATCTATAGTAAAACACTAATAATTGCAGGTGTATTAAAGTAGGACAGAAACTATGTGAGTTATTGAAGAAAATACAAAGTATTAACTTTGTTTTGCGAGAGAATATTATTTAGACCTACCAAAGTGTTAATATTATATTATTCCAAAACAGTATTTTCAATTATTAATTGAAATAATGAGGATACAAAGAGGATATTGGATAATTTATTGCCTGGCATATTTCACTTTTCACAAGCAGTTAACAAACAGTGCAGTCCATAAAACCCTGAGGCCGGCAGGTAAGCATTTAGTCACTATGCTGTCGAGGCTCCCTGTTGATTGTTTTACGATGTGAATCTTACCGTCTTTGAGCATTCATGTTTTCTTCCCCCCACAGGTGTTGTCCTTGCCATTCTGGAAAAAGCCAAAGTTATTGACCCCATCTACACAAACAAGGACACCCAACAAGTCAGCGTCGGCACTGTCTCTGCTGGTTGGCAGAACTTCTTTGTCTGTATGGAGATGTTTGTGGCCTCCGTGGCCTTGCGTTTTGCATTCCCTCACAGTGTTTACAGTACAGGACCCACAAATACGCATGGACGCACGGTATCGCTGCAGTCTATCTCCAGCAGCTTGAAGGAGACGATGAACCCAAGGGATATCATGCAGGTCAGTTTTTAAAATATATAAGTTACTTTATCCTTTGTTTTCCCCATGTGGATTCTGGGGCCCCAATTTTTTTTTAAAATAATTTTTTTTTCTTTTTTTTTGAGGAAAAAAGAATAGACCACTGCTCCTTAACTCTTTGAGTCCCAAGGAACGCATCATACGTTCATAGGTTCCCGCCTAGAGGCCCAATGAAGGCAAGATGCGCCAATTTTACATCTCTTTTGACTAGCCCTTGGGCCTCTGATGCTAAACCCCCTGGGACTCAAAGAGTTAATAGACATGTTGTAATAGGAGACTGTTTTTGGATTTTCTGAAAATGGACTGAAAGCCACAGATATCAAAGCTTAGCTGTATACCACAACACAATGTGCTGACTGCTTTTTTGAGGGCGAAACAGAAGAAGAAACCTTTGTTGTAGGTTAATGTTGCCAAGATATTTGTGTGTGTGAAGGTAATCTTCTCTGAAACAGCAGATATAACCAGACCATTTTAAGTGGACATGTTTTCTTACGGGGAAAAAAAATCTGGTATCATTATAGAATCGTATTTCCAACATCACCTATTTGTGTCTTTTGTGTTTTCTAGGACGCCATCCACAATTTCCACCCTCAGTACCAGCACTACACCCAGCAGGGCACGAAACCATCGGAGGATGATAACCAGGATGGACTGTGGAGCACTGATAACTACCTTTACCAGCAACAGTGGCCAGTCTCTAATGGAAACACCTCAACCACTTCCTCTGTGTCTCCTGCATCTGCCGATGCTGGGAGTGGCGGCGGCGGGAGTCAGCATCCAAAGCAGCAGCCTTCTCAAGGAAGCAGTGCTGCCGGAGCCCCAGCAGGTTCCCAAGGAAGGAAGGGACGGTTCAATGAAAAGACAACTCTCCTCAATTCTGATGATGAATTTCAGTAATGTCTATTAAGTGTTGTTCTCATTTGTTGTTTGGTCTTGCATGTTTATATACTCTTCCATGAATATATGAGGAGATGTTTCATATATATATATATTTCAGCATGTTGTTTTTTTATTTGTCATTCAAGCATTGATTCAGCTCTTCAGAAATTCTTGGTTCAGTATATGTGGGGAAGAGTTTCAAATATCATATTTCAGCATGTTTTCATTTCATATTTCAAACATTCATTCAGCTCTTTAGAACGTCTTTGTTTATCATTCTTTTGTTTTTCCAGTCACCTTTGTTTGTAGAAGAGATACGGAGGAAAATGACTTGAGAAATTATTGATAGCCATTTATCATGGCAGTGAAGCCTATCGGCATATCAATGTGCTGTTGTTTGCAAGCAGTGTAGAAGCTTGACTGTCCATACCAGTCAGCAAGTATGATGTAATACCTTCTGTTATTTTTTTCCTTCTGTCCCACACCACCTTATAAGGCTGTACTTTAGGCAGTAAAGACATTTGTTTTCTTACATTGCATTGTTTAAATCTGTGTTTCTTGTTATTAACTGATTCTCGCATGTGTTACAGGCTTTAGCAGTTTACTTCTGCAGGTCTTTTTGTTGATACACCCCTCTTTTAAACATGGTTGTGCCAATATGGATAATGTTACACTGTGACATTACAAAGATTTGTTGCAATGTTGTTGTTTTTTTTACATTGGAAATACTGTTAATCATAATTGTTGAAGTAGTTCCAATCTAATTTATAGGACATATAATAACTTATAATAATTGGATATACATCTATTTAAGCTTATAAATGTTTGAATTTATTTTTATATAGTTTTTTTAAAATTTTATTATTTTGTTCATTTTATATCTTTTTCACCATAGGTTTTAATTTAAATTTAATTACATTCCTCAGAGATATCTTTTTTGTGTTATTGTGTCATTATTTATACTGATTTGACTTAGATCTTTCAGTGGTTTACAAGAAAATGTATATTTGTGTTTAAACCTAAGAGCACACAGTTAAGCCCTTATTTTATCTATGTGTGTTTGTGTTGTTTTTTTTTGTGTGTGGAAAAAATTATTTTTTAAATTTTTTAAGCAATTAGTTTAACTGATTCCTTTCAAAATTTTCCGTTGGCTGTGTTGTTTACAGCTAAGGAATAATAAAGTTCGGCTGCCACATTATTTTCAGACAAACACTTAGTAATTTGCTAAAGCTCACAAACAGACTATATTTTATTGTTTTAACTATGCTTCTGAATAAACTTAATAGACCACAAGTGTGTTATTGATCACAAAGAACAACAAAAAAACCATTAAGACTTTGGATTTATGTTTTTAAACTGCCCAGTTGTAAATTAAAAAGTTAGATGTATAATCATTGCATGACACATTGATTAGACTTCTAGGTATGAACCTATGAATGTAAAATGTGTTCCTTGAGACTGAAAGAGTCAAGAAAATGTGGATATCATAATTCCAATTTGCGCTCAAATAAATTGTTCCATCTTATACTCAATCTGTACTTGACAATACTAGTTTAGTAATAAAAGTCTCCGTTTTTTTTTTAAATCACCGCTAATCACTGGCAACACAAAGGCTAATAGATGGAAATGGCTGTGGCCTATAGAGAGGCTGGCAGGGAAGCAGAACTGTGCACACAAGGGAGTTTAATAGCTTAGACCATGAGGCAGACCAAGAAGAGGATGGAGAGATAATATCTAGACAGACCAACAAACATATGAGTCACCATCTGAAAGGAGAAAGGCAATCACAAAGATGAATGGAGGCGGATTATATCTGCAGCAGTGAACCTGAAGGGCTTGGAATACTGAAGAAGAAGAAGGTCAAAGACACTTTTCTAATCTATGCGCTGTATTGAGTTATAGTGATAGCCTCATATTTTAGACCAATTAGCCTTCAGTTAGTGATGTAGTCAGTTTCACCCCGGCCACCTTTACTTCCCAAGAAAGTTCCTCATATTTGGCTGTTTCAGCTGGAAGCTCAGGATAATGGAAACGGTCTCTGGCGTTTGAAGCCTTCAAACACATATATGAGCTGTCAGGCAAACATGTAGCCACTGTACTATAGCAGGCTCCCTTTTCATAATGGGTGAACAAGAAATTTAATAAGAGAAGTATTTCTCACTTGAGAAATTTTTAAAGGTGTTCGTGACAAGTTGTTGTCATAGGGAATCAGTTGCATTATTTTCTCAGCTTTTAATTTTTTGTTAACTTATAATTGTAGAATGTAAGCATTCTGAAGGTCCTGTTGTGGCCCAAGAATCTGAGTGTCCTGTCGTGGCTTAAGCATTCTGAGTGTCCTGTCGTGGCTCAAGCATTCTGAAGGTCCTGTCCCTGCTCAAGTATTCTGAATGTCCTGTCCTGACTCAAGCATTCTGAATGTCATGTCACGGCTCAAGCATTCTGAATGTCATGTCATGACTCAAGCATTCTGAAGGTGAAGGTCCTGTCATGGCCCAAGCATTCCGTAGGTCCTGTCATGGTCCAAGAATTCTGAAGGTGAAGGTCCTGTCATGGTCCAAGCATTCTGAAGATCCTGTCACGGCCCAAGAATTCTGAAGGTGAAGGTCCTGTCATGGTCCAAGAATTCTGAAGGTGAAGGTCCTGTCATGGTCCAAGCATTCTGAAGGTGAAGGTCCTGTCATGGTCCAAGCATTCTGAAGGTGAAGGTCCTGTCATGGTCCAAGCATTCTGAAGGTGAAGTTCCTGTCTTGGCCCAAGCATTCTGAAGTTCCTGTCATGGCCCAGGCATTCAGAAGATCATGTCATGGCCCAAGCATTCTGAAAGTCCTGTCATGGTCCAAGCATTCCGTAGGTCCTGTCTTGGCTCAAGCATTCTGAAGGTCCTGTCTTGGCCCAAGCATTCTAAAGGTCCTGTCACTGTCCAAGCATTCTGAAGGTCCTGTCGTGGCCTAAACTTTCAGAAGGTCCTGTCTTGGCCCAAGCATTCTGAAGGTCCTGTCGTGGCCCAAGCATTCTGAAGGTCCTGTCGTGGCCCAAGCATTCTGAAGGTCCTGTCGTGGCCCAAGCATTCTGAAGGTCCTGTCGTGGCCCAAGCATTCTGAAAGTCCTGTCGTGGCCCAAGCATTCTGAAGGTCCTGTCGTGGCCCAAGCATTCTGAAGGTCCTGTCGTGGCCCATAAAAGTCTCAAATAAGATCTGGTTGTGGTTTTAATAAATGTGCTTATTATTATTAGTGTGTAACTGTCTGGTTGTATGTTTTATATTTTGTGTGTGGTTTAATATTACTTTGGGGGGGGGGGGGGGGGGGGGGCAGATTAGCTAGTCACCAGTAGTTAACATTCATAGTATTTAATATTTACTTGGTTGAGTTCACATTATTTATCATTCACATTACCGAGTCCACAATAGTTTTAACATTCATGTGACTGAGTCCACAATATTTATCATTCACATTACGAGTCCACAATAGTTTAACATTCGTAGTACACTCATGGACACATTTCTTACCACAAGATCCCAGTTTCTGAGTTGACATAAAACATGACATTTTTTACAGAAGCTGAATTATTATTGCAAATATACAAAAGTTTATACTATTTCTGGGATAAAATAATAAATGAAACCATTAATACAAGATTTAATGTTAATTCTTAAATGTGTGTCAAACAAACCAAATTTTAAAAGCTTGTCTTTAAAGCATTTTGAAAATGTTTTTATACTTGAGTTATCAAGTTTGAGTTATCTTTTTGTTAAATTTTGTTTTAAATACCTTTGAAAATCCTGTATTAACTATGCATTTTGTTTAATAATTAGTGGTTCTTAAATTACAGAAGTTTGGGCTATCCTCAGAATAACGGTCCCAAATTATCGGGGCTAAGAAAATACCCTAACAGGGCCTCAGTCATATGTAAATTGCAGACCTCTTTCCGGCAGAAAAGCTTCCGCCAAGGTAAAATCACAGCCGAGAGTTTCACCCAAGCAGCAGCTACCACATCTCCTGCAGCTTCCTCCATTATATTTGCTCGTGAGTCCCAGCCATCTAGGTTAGCTCCGCGGCGCAGGGGATACTCTCGGCGTTGGTGATATAGTCGCCGGAAATAGGTCCACAATTTACATATAACTGAGGCCCTGTTAGGGTATTTTATTAGCCTCAATAACTGGGAGCGTTATTCGGAGGATAGCTGAAGTTTGTAATATATGAAGGTACATGTCATTATTCACTAGATGCATGCCTGCTGGCCGAAAGGTCTTTGATTCCATATCATGTCAAATTTTCTATAATTGACCAAAGAAATAAGATATTTGAGAAGGCATGCAGGAGTAATCATAAGAAATAAAATCAGAAACAGGGTCGTTAGAGAAAAACGTTGGCAAAGAACCAGTTCTAAATTAGACACAAAGACAAACAGATCCAGTGGTTTCCCCATTTGGAGAGAATGTCTTGTGATGGCGTGCCATACAAGGCATACACCAACAAAGGAAAAGGACATTGAGCACAAGGTAGACCACGAACAAGAGACGGAGAAACTCAACAACAGCATGATTTGTCTATGGTCGAGTAGAGGCCGTGTTAGCGCAGTCAGTAGGAGACTCGCTTTCAAATCCAGCTGCGACTCGCTGCAGCCCACGGCCGGTGTTCGAACCAGGCGGTTCACTGGGTTCACCCAGCCTCTAGGAAATGGGTACCACAGTTAACACTTTGGGGTAAATGGAGGAATGTCGCTGTAGCTACAGAGTTTCGTGCAGACGGTGACACAGTCGGACAGTTTCTTATAAGCTGTCCGCACTGGTGGCAGAGCACTTAAGGTTTATAACCGTGTGCAGTGACGCTGGTTCACACCTCCTGACTTTACCTTTACCTTTACTTTGTTAATATCATACACAGCTAGTCTAAAACTAATGTCGTCAGTCTCAGTTTCTGCAAATATACAAATAACGCATCTCACTCACTATTTTATTTGTACTTTTTTGTACATACTTTTAAGTGTTTGTGAACATGCATTGTTTTCAGGGACTCCG